CACCGTCCCGGTCCGCCTCTCGCTCCCTGGCACTGGCCCCGCCTCCCGGCTCAACAGTTTCGATTCCCGGCTCAACAGTTTCGATTCCCGGCTCAACAGTTTCGATTCCCCGCTGCACACACAGCCGGGGATGGAAGGAATGGGAGGAGCTGAGGACATGGAGGGCACTGAGAAAGGTATCTCTAGGGGCATTGGCACTGGGGAATGAAAGACGTGGGCGGTCCCTGTCCTGCAGAGTCCCTGAGCCTGGGGCAGTCAGGGACAGAGGGCCTGATGAGGGCCTGAGGGCCAGCAAGGATCCAAGTCGTGGACTCGGCTGGGCACAGAACTGGTTCTGTGGCCATCCACGGGGGTTTCTAGGGTGAGATAGGACCAGGACATGTGTCCAGGTGAGAACTGAGGGACAATACATATGTTAAGGGTGTGGAGGAACCGAGACATACCTGAGGGCCACATATGGGAGCCAGACATTCATCCAGGAAGATATAGGAAGAGGCTGTGTGATTGTGGAGGGCAACTATCTCAGACCAGGGTCTCACAGACCCTCTACATCCATCCATCCATCCATCCATCCATCCATCCCTTCATCTTTCTGTCACTTACCGTCCCACTACAGGGTGTTGGCTGCTCCAGCAGGACAGCACACCAGTGAGTGTCCACAGGTTCCTTGGGGGACATCAGTGTTCAGGACAAGGCCGGAAGGGAGAGGGACCCCAGGGAGACCCAGTTTCTGGTCTCCTGCCTATGACAGGTCTTCAGAATCATCTCAACTGTCCTGGATGAAGGAGCCATATCAAATGGATCATGGGGACCATACAGAGATCACTTGCACTGTACAGATCACATAAGACCAATTTAGGCCCTATGGACTATTACAGACTACGTGAGGACCAGAGGACATCACACTGATTGCACAGGCCACACAAGAACCCCAAGGAGACCACATTGAGGCTATTTGGACTGCAGACCACAGGCTGTACGAAGACCATAAAGACATAGAAACCACTTGGAATGTGTGAAAAAGTAACCTGTAGGACATGCTGCTTTAGGGGGAGTGTAGGACAGATTTCAGGGGGACACGTCTCAAAGGAAACCTCCTCAGCTCTTCCTTCTGTCCCCTTGCTCCTGACCGCAGTGGTGTGCAGGTAGGTGCTTCATGGTAGTAGGACTCAGACAATACATTGTTCATTAAAGCCTTTTATATTTAAGCTCAAATGTGCCTCAAGGGGAAGAATAAGGGCCACATCTTGCTCAGCGGGATGAGGCTGATGGTGCTGTTTGTGTGAGGGGGTGTGTACCTGTATGGATTTGTGAGGTTGGCTGTGTGTATCCCTATGTGTCCTATGATGGCTCCACAATTGGTTGGACCTGGGGGCTCGGAGCTGTGGCAGCCTCGTCTTCTTCGGGCTGCTGGATGCAGTAACTTCTAACAGTGGTGACAGAGGGGGAAGCCCTTTCCATGGTCCTGATTCAAAGAAACCTTTGAACAATCTGAAAAGCACTTTTATTACGGCTGGGGAATGTAAAGGGGCAGGTGTTCTCCCCAGTGCACTCCACTGTGCCAAGAAATACCATAGCTTTTTATACAGTTTGAAAGTAGCAAGTTTAAAATTATCTACACACACACTCTCTTTTTGCAGTCTGCCTTATCTAAATAGACACTTAGTTTTACCTCCTATTCTTACCATTATAGAGTAGTTACATAAAGTTTTATCATTTCAAGCAGTTTCAGGTTCCCCACCCCTCTCTGTGTGCTAAAAAGCCTTCCCTATTCTCTAAGCTATTTTATCTTAATTGCCCACAGTTTGGGCAGAAACTTTTAAGCAGTTTTACATTTTGCAAAGTCACACCTACATAGCTAAATAGCTAATATTTTATTTCATTTTCTATTTCAGTCCCATGCCCTGGATGTGCAACCCAGAGGCTGGTCTCCAGCCAAGGGATGTGCCCCTCTCCAGAAGGGCACAAGGAGTCCAATATGCCCATGGATGAGCCCCATGGCAATGCCACCAACTCCATCCTGGATGGAGAGAGCCAGGGCAGAGCCTGCAGGGTGGGCCAGAGGTCGTTCTCCTCTGGGCTCTGGTAAGACCAGAGCAGTTTGTTGTGGCCAGTGGAGGCTGTGGAGGTGAATGGGCCTGAAGGGAGGCTCTCCAAGGAGGTGCCAAGAATCAGTCGAGCCTGGGGGAGGCAAAAGGGGGTTAGTCAGGAGACGGGGCCAGAGGAGGTGCCCAGGAGGGGCCAGGAGGAGGCCATAGGGCACCCTACTGCCCAAACTTCTCCTAGTCCATGATATCTCCAAGGGAGACCGAAAGGGCTGAAGGGGGAAGAAAGCAAAGGGTGGAGGGAGTCTAGGAGGGACCACAGGGGTTCTGGAGAAGTCCAGCGGCCACTTTGCCTTTCCCCTCTGGGTTACACCCATATAAACCCCAGCTGCCCAGCCTGGAGTCCTCCCGACTTTTCCTGCTGTGGCCAACTGTGGCAGAGGTTGCACACACAAGAGGGGGCAGGACATGCTGCCCGCAGCTCACAGGAGGACAGGGAGCTACAGACGCTGCAGCCTTCAGAGCAGGACCACTGGACAAGCTGCCACGTGTCCCACACAACTCCAGTGCCACAATCCATCCATTCCCTGCTCCCACATCACCTGGAGATGTGACTTCCCCTGTTTAATCAGACGTACATTATAGCCAAAAGGAGCTCTGTCTACATCCCTGGCCAGCCCAGTCAAGATGCAGCTGAGGTTGGAGGTCTGGCTCCGGGAGGGGTGGAAGAGAGCAGCAATGTGGAATAAGGATGTTCCATTGCTCCAGTGCGGGAATGAGGAAGCCTGGGTGGATGGGGATTGAGACCATTCCTGAAAGGTGCATCCAGACCTACAGGTTGGAGGTATTGCTGTCCCTCCTCCAATGACAGACACTGCAGGCCAGGGGAAAAATCATCCCCCGAGAAGGCCAAAAGGGAAGCCAAGTTCCTCCCGTCCTACTCCATTCTGTTGAGCCACCAAGCCTGTGGTTTTGCAGTTGCAAAACAACTCCCTATTTCACAAGGCAGAAGGAAGACATTTCCCCACCAAGTGACCGGAACTAAGAAAGAGAAACAAAAAGTCCTGAGGGCTTTTCTCCCAGGGTCTGCAGGATCCTAAGACCAAGTCATCACGGGGGCCCAGACCCAGGCATGTGACTAGGACATTGTGGTTCCAGTTCAACCATCTCAGCCCTGCATTTGTGTTTGCAGAAACCCAAGTTGTGCGACAGAAGGTGGGTTGTGGCAACGAGGTCATATCAGGACCCACAAGAAGCCACCCAGCTGCTCAGTGCCTCCTAGCCAGTGTCTTCCTCTGAAGAAGCCCTGCTGAGTCGAGTACTGAGAGAGCCAAGAGGAATACAATGCTGCCTGTGACCCATGTGTTGGCCTTCGGTGAGTGCCAGAGGCTGTGCAGGCTCCCAGAGGGTGGCAGGAGGCATCCAGAGACTTCACATAGATGTTACACAGCTGCTTCTCTTGCAGGTGCTTGGCTGGTGGTACAGAGCAAGGCTACACCAAGTGAGTATCTTGAGGAGGTAGTTGGGGAGTTTGGACTCATCTCTGGTCCCCACCCATCTCCCAGGGCAGTTCTGCAGCCCCATGGAACAAAACTCACCCTTGTGTGGAGACTGTGCCCAGAGGCAGCCCCAGGCTCATGTCAGGGCAGCTGCTGGGGGCTCCCTGTCTGTCTGGCAGCATCTCTCTCTCCCTGTGCAGGTGCTCCAACAATCTCCATCTTCCTGAAGCCACCTGGGGTGATCCCACCAGGAGGCTCCACCACCATCTGCTGCAGCTGCCAGCATGGCAATGGGAACTTCATGCTGTACAAGGATGGCCACCAGCTCCGTACCCTGGAGCAGAGTGGCAGCAGGGCCGAGTTCTCCATCTCTAATGCCACCTACAAGGACACGGGTACCTACAACTGCCATTACCTGGAGGGAGGCACTGTGCTGGCTCGCAGCGATGGCCTGGATGTCGTGGTGACAGGTGAGAGATGTGCTGTTACCCCTTCTTGCGGGGTCACATGCCCTATGTGCAGACTGGGATGCATGCAGACACTTGGCTTCCCTATCCATATGATGGGCAGGGGATTTCTCTTTTTCCCTGGCTTGGAGAGGTGGGGACCATCTGCACCTTCATCTAAGCCTTTTGATGGGTTTCTGGAGATCTTGATGGCTCCTGGCACCATGTCAACGCCCTGTATGTCTTCTCAAGCCCTCTCTTGTCCCCCCAGGGATCCGTCTCCCTGGACCCAACCTCTCTGTCCTGCCTGGGCATGAGGTGACTGCAGGAACTCATGTGATATTCCGTTGCACCTCCCCACACCGCAGTACTGGCTGTTTCCTGTACCTGGAGGGCCAGATCCGAGCCCAAGTACTCTCAAGGGAACAAGATGACTACAACTTCTCCCATGTGCAGGAAGGTGAGGGGGGCCACTACAGCTGCCAGTGTTTCACCAAGAATGCTTCAATAGAATGGTCTGCTGTCAGCAAGACCCTGGATTTGGTGGTGAGAGGTGAGACATCCCCCCAGCCACATCCTACTCTTCTCTTCCTCCTTGCAATCTGTCACATCCTGGGGGAACTAGAAAAGAGGATTTAAGGGAGGAAAGCAGCTGTAAGAGGGATCCGAGCAGAGGATTTCAGCTTCCTTCAGCTGTTTGAGCCTGGCCAACTCCCCAAGACCCTACAGATGACCTACAGACCCTATAGACACAAGGTCACTAGGCTGACAGTTGGGGGTAAGAGTCAGAGGACACTGTCCCCGCACCTACCAGCCCCACGGAGAATCATATGTCTTGTCACAGCTCAGTGGCACCGTCTGGCTGGCAGGAGCAGCTGAGGGCCACCTCAATGTTCCTTTGGTGCCAATGGGTGGGGTGACAGGTGAGAGGCTATGAGTAGAGGGTGTTCCAGGAGACAGGGATGTGGGAGGTGAAGCTGACAGGAGCCCATGGGGCTCCCTTTGCTCCCTGTGAACTTCTCTTTATCTCTCTTTAGCCCAGGAACTCCCCAGTGTGTCCCCTTATCCTTGTGTCTCTTTTCCCTCACTGCCCTGTGAATCCCCTTGGAGGATACCTTTGGTCTGGGATCTCCTGGGGGACTCCTCCCAGGGGCTCCCAGTGACCGTCCCTTCCTGTCCCCTGCAGATTACACGTTGTGCAACGCAGTGCGCCTGGCGCTGGGGGCCGGGCTGCTGGTCCTGCTGGGGCTCATTACGGCTGAAGCCACGCGAGGCCGCTGCTGCCGGGGCGGGAGGGCCCACCCTCTCCCCGCAGGCAGCGCTCCCCTGACTGCGACCAGTGTGGGAACACCGGGATTCCCTTCCCGCGCCTCGCGGTGGGATAAATAAACCGTTCCTGTCGTTGTCGCTGTCTCTGTCTCTGTCCCTGCCCCCGTCCCTTGTCCCTGTCGCTGTGCCTGTCCCTGTCCGCTCGGGGGTCCCCGCCGGACGGGCGAGGGGGGAGGGGGGGGTACCCGGCGGAACACGCAGAAGGGCGGGGCTTCGGGAGTGGGCGGGACCATGCCTGTTAAGGGGCGTGGCTTGTGCTGGGGGCGGGGTCTGCGCTCCCACGCGCAGTGACCATTCCCGTCCTGCAGTGACCGCTGCACTGACCTCTCCCTCTGCGCTGGCCCCCTCTGTCTGCACAGTGACCACTCCACTGATGTCTCCTGCCACACAATGACCACCCTGGCCACTCAGTGACCGCTCCTGCACAGTGACCACTCCTGTGGCACAGTGACCACTGCCATGGTACAGTGACCACGCTCGTGAGCACAGTGACAGCTCTTGTGGCGCAGTGACTGCTCCCACTGCAGAGGCCTCCATTGCTTACATTCGTTTATTATTTTAAAACACTGACGAAACACATCACATCCTCATCTACATATATAAATTTACTTTTGCACCACTATAAATTTATATATATAGGGCCTTTAAAACTCTGTACGCTCAGGACACACAGTTCTAGAATAGCTGCACTGGCTACAACAAAAGGATTTTTGTTATGAAAAGGAGGCGCCAATATCAAAAACGCAGAAAAAAAGAAATTAAAAAAGAGTGCAAAATGAATGAAAGTGCAAAAAGCTTTTGTTATCATAATCACACTCTTTCCACAATATGCTCCCCATTTTTCCCTTCAAGGACAAGGAAGGCTCAGGCCCCCGAGGGAAAGTCAGGGCTGGAAGAAGGGAGCCTGGCTACGGCCCTCTTCTCTTTCCCTCTGCGCACCTGAGGAGTTCTCTCCTGGAGGCTGAGGAGTGAGGAACAGGACTGGCCAAGTCACATCCCTCTCTCAGCTCCCTCCTCTTCTCCAATGCCCTCACTGCACTCATGGCCCCAGATGTGCCTCTGCAGACAGCAGCTGCCCTAAGCCCTTGACCCTCCTGGACAACTTGGAGGGGTTTTTTCTTTTCTAAAAGTGCTAGTGATCACCATGGAAATCAGTAGAGGAAGGCAGGAGTGGGCAGCCGTGCTCTGGCAGGGCAGGCACAAAGCTTCAGCCTGCTGAGCTTCAGGCTGGCTGCTCTCATGGAAACAGAGACCTTGGCTCACAGTGTCCCAATGCTGCCCGTTTCCATGAGGAGGGAGAAACATCTTTCCAAGAGGCTCCAACTGCTCCCATGCACCCAGAGTCAGCTCCAGATCAGCCCCCACAGAAGACACCCCATGCCTGAGGCTGGTGCATTTGGTGGGACTTCTCCCATGGCTCCAGCTAAGCCCCACCAACACCAGTTGCAGGGGCAGGAATAGGCTTGAGGGCCTCCAGTCAAAAAAACATTTGACTTCAAAAACTCTTCATTGACTTAGAAATTTTGGCTGCAGTCACATCTCTCAGAAAGGTCCCAGAGAGGAACCTGTGGGCCAGACCCAGCCCCACTTTCCTCTCTGGCTTCTTAGTGACACAGCAGTGAACATCCCTGTGAGCAATCTGGTCAGGCAACAGGGTAAGGACAAAAAACTTTGGTGCTTCTTCCTTGGTCACAGCTGTCCTTGATGGTTCCTGATAGGGGACTCCCACACAATGCTCTGTGGGGATGGAGGACTTGCCAAGGCCAGGGGTACAGCAAACCTTCCTTCTTCTGGCTTCCTTGCTGGACCAGGGACAACTGCTCATGGAGGACACATCACCTGAGAACCTGAGATCCTGTGACAGGCATCTGCTGCCTTCACAGCCACAGAGACCACCCTGAAAGAGTGACACACCAACAGCAGGGGAATGGTGTCGTGGTACTCCCACAAACACCCATCCACATGTACACACACGATCCTTTGGGTTTAGTTTTAAAGGACACGAGAAGGTTATAAGTTTTAACAGTAAATAGCCCTTGACCACCTACAAACCCTGTAACTCCCTCACCCAGATGAATCCAGCAGCTTTGTACCCCAATGGCCTAGTGAGCCTGAGAGGCTGATGAAGTGATGCTCAATTCTGCAGGTGTGTGACACAGACTCTCAGATCTCTCATCACCCTTCTTGTGGAACCGGTGTTCCTGACAGCTGCTTCCTGTGCAGGGCTCAGACCCAGTGGAGACCTGGGCTCCAGCTGTGCAGCCAGAACCCCCCAGCCAAGGGGCAGCACCCTGGTAGTCCTGTTCAGTTTGTGTCTGCTCTCGAGCCCAGGTCAGGCAGTGCCATGGCTGGCACAGTGTGGAGATGCAGCTCTGCCTGTTTTGCTGGGGCCCAGGCAGAGCATGGCTTGATTGCACCCGACAGCAGAGCAAGAGCCAGTGGTATTGGTTGTACCCAGACTTGTGGTCCAGCCAGGGCTTGGCTCATGCCTCCTATTCCCCTTCATCAGGACCTTCTAAGCTTCCCACCACCTCTGCTCTCCCAGGCAGCCCTGTGAGACACAAGGTTCTTCATCCTTCACACTAGTTTCAGATCTGATGCCTGGGTAGCAGCTCCTCTCCAGCACCCTGGGACGGTGCTTAGTCCCTTCCCCAACAGAAGGAATAACTTCACACATGGGAATGGAGAAGATGAAAACAGGATGCTTTCATAAGACATTTCCTTCTAAACTCAATAGCCATGTCCAGTGCCTTTTTGTGCCTGATCACATCTAGAGAGGTCTCAGCATCATTTGCAGTCTCACAGCTGAAGGTCCCAGGGCCCCTCCTCTTCTTCCCCAGCGCACAGTGGCCCAGAAAGAGACTCTCCATCAAATGAAGAGACCACCTTAAGGACCATTACTGCAGACAAAGGGTGTTGTGGGGAGCAACTGTGGGAACCAGGGGCACAGCTGTTTCTTACCACTCCCTCTCTCCACAGCTTGCCACACTGCAGTGCTTGAAGAGATGGAAAGATCCCCCCCAACCGACCACAGGGAAAAGAGAGGGAAAGCTGCCTAAATCAAACCCAAGCCTTGACAAAACAAAGACATGGACCAGTTGCAAGTCCTGCGTGAAGAGCAAGTGGCAGACGTTTCAAGAGCAGGTCAAGTGTGATCCCAAATATTCAATAAAACAGAGTCAAAACGCTACATTTCCATTGGAAGCCTTGAACAGGTTGACCCAGGGGTGACAGCGGCTCTCAAGGCAGTGCTGCTCCAGGACATCTTGCTGGTACACTTGCTCACATCTCTTCATCCCTGTCTTTGAGCACTGGGAAAGGGGGAGATTGTTTTGCTACTGATATGTCATTCTTAGGAATGGAAAAGAAAGTGAATATGGGACTGGGATCACATTGCTGCAGACTATGGAGAGCCTGTGGGCAGGTAGCCGTCCTCCAGCACTGCACTGCTCCAACAGCTCCCACAGTAGGCACACACAGGATGATGGATCATGGAGAGCAGCACGGGTGCTGCCAGGAGGCACAGGGACTCTCTGAGGACCCGCAGGCATGTTGGCTTTCCTGGCTTTGCAGCCCTAGCACTCTTCGTCTCCCTTCCATTACAAGGGACAGCACTACATGAACATTCCCAAAGTGCCTGTAGCCTTGTTGAAAAGGTGCTACGTTCCAAAAAGGACAGAAACAAACCAGTTAAGTGCTGTGTTTCTTTTAGCTCTGCAGGTAAGGGATCCAGGGACAGCAGAGGATCCAGCTCTTCAGACAGCAAAACCTGGGTGCCTTGTGAGGGTAAAAAATGGGGAGAAGGCAGTTTGGCAGGATTGAGTCAGCCAACTCAGGAACACCTTCAGAGGTGACTGTGGATCTGTCTATGGAGCAATGGATGCATCTTGTCCTTCGCAGTTGCCTCCACTCTAGAGCGCCTTGCTCCTAATACATGGACCAAAGAGGGCCCAACTCTCCTTTGCAGAGGACTCTTTAATTGCTGTGAGGGGAACAAGTTATCCAAGCATCCTTTCTCCTGAAGAAGTGCTAGACAAAACAGTCAAGCTCAAGAAGAAACAGAGCCTGTTCTGCCCCCAGCCAGCCCTGGCCCTGCAGGGCCCTAAGGCTGCTGCATTACAGGAAAGAGGAACAGAGCACAGGTGCTGGTCGTGGGCAGAGCAGCAGCCAGGACACCTGATTCCTGAAGGGGCAAGAGGTGGCCGCTGGTTTCCAGTGTAGCAAAGGGGCAAAGCAAAGTCATCATCTGGGCTTAAAAAGTCAAAAGAATTCAGAAAAAAAGGCAAAATGAGGAGAAGCTCCTTGGGAGTGTCCCTTGGGAATGGTGTCAGCACAAGCCCCACCACAGGATCATAGTAAGGGAAAAAACCCAAATCTCTCTCAGCTGCTGAGCAAAGGCAAGAACAGCCTCTCAATGGTTGCGAGCGCAGACGCAGGCAGTCAGTCCCTTCCCACGTCTGGGTGAGTGGAGTAGTGGTTTCAGTCCCCACCCTCCACAGTGGTCCCTCATCCCTCAACACTTTCTGAACCAGTGCAGTCACAGCAGGACATGGGGGCATCTGTGGTGCTCAGATAGGCCACCCTCCATCCCTGCAGCCACCCCCGAGGCCTGGGGTCAGCCTGTACCCAGCACTGGAAGAAAAGGGCAGTGTGGAGGGAAGAAGATGGGAGAGGAAGTGGTGAGAGAGCAGAGATGTGGCATCTGAAAGGACATGAGCAGGACATGACAAGCTGTGGTTGGTTGGGGGGATCTCTGTCCTGACCAGACAGTTTGGCAGCACCAATGCTGAGGGAGGGTCCTGATCGGGCCAAGAAAAGTCACTTTAAGGTGTCATCAGCGTTCTTGAACATGAGGATGGCATTGTAGATCTTGAGTGCTGGGCCCAGCTTGACACTCATAATCTTGACTATGTCAGCCTGCGTCAGCAAGAGGAACGCCTCACCATCGATCATCTGGGGAGGAGAGCAGGAACAAAGGCACTCACCAAAAATCCAGGCTGGCATTCCTAGGGACAGCCAGCAAAAGCACGACCTGAGAACCTGCACAGTCCCACTTACAG